TTGGTATTTACCCAAAGGAGCTGAACACTCACGTCCACCCAAAAACCAGCACAGGAACGTTTCCAGCAGCTTTGCTGCCAAAACTCGGAAGCCACCGAGATGCCCTTCAGGAGGTGAATGGCTAGAGAAAGTGGTTCATCCAGACAATGGGATATTATTTGGCGCTAAAAAGAAGAGAGCCAGGAAGCCATGAAAAGATAGGAGGGAACCTTAAGTGCACATGACTGAGCGAAAGAAGCCGGTCCGAAAAGGGCACAGACTGTGGGATTCCGACTCCAGAATGTTCTGGAAAAGGCAAAGCTATGAGACAGGAAAAGGATCAGAGGTTGCCGGGGGCCGGAGGGATGGGGGAGGGATGTTCAGCCGTGAAACTAGTCTGAGCGATGCTGTGACAGTGGATACATTTGTATAAACCCGCGGAACACGCACGCCCAGAGTGGCCGCCAGTGTCAGCCGTGACCTTTCGTTTATAACAATGTCTCAGTGTGACTTCTTCAATTGTAACAAGTTCGGGCACTAACGCACGTTCCGGGGAAACTGCGTTGGGCGTTGGGCGGGGAAGGTGGACTGTGGAACTCTGTGCTTTCTGCTCAAATCGTCTGCAAACCTAAAACCGCTCTAAAAAAATTGTCTATTAATTAAAAACATTTTCAGGAAGGATGTGGATACATTCATCCACATGGAAAAATGACATTTGTAACAGGTTCTTCAAAGCTGCATTATTGACAGTAGCGAAGAGCCCGGGATGGGGAAACGCACTTGCACCGGGAAGGTGATCCAGCCACGGGGCGGAATATTAGGCAGCCGTGAAAAAGCAAGAGAAAGTTCCTTACTGTACAGGAAGACATCCGGGAGGCATTGTTGCGAGGGAACCAGACTGAGGTCAGCAAAACAGCAGGGACACCATGACATCGTTTCTGTAGGGAAAAGAAAATATACAGACAGGCCTGTTTCGGCAAGAACATTGCTGGAAGGAGAAACAAGAAACCCGGCTGGCGGCCTCTGGGGAGCGCGGCGGGGGTGGGGGGGGAGGGCAGCTGGCTGTTTTTTTTCCTGAACCCCCTTTGGTCGATTTTCTATTCTGTGGACCGAGTCTGTTTTACCTATTGAAAAAAATAAACCGTAAAATGTGTTTTAGAAAGACTGCTGTGGAAAAAAAAAAAATGGGGAAATTAAAAGCGTTTGGATGGGTTTGAAAAAAGGAGGGGGGATCTGAGGCTGAGCGGCTGGTCTGCCGGCAGCCCCTCCGTTTGGGCTGGACGCCCCCCTCCAGGTCCCTGGAGCCTGGCCCTCGCCCCCGCTCACACCTTCCCTGCTCTGGTTCAGAGGATGTTCGGAGCCCAGCGGGCCCCGGAGGAGGGACGTGGGCTGGGCTGGGGCCAGGCCCGCTGGGCGCCTCACGGCCGGGCGACCACCCAGCCTTCGAGAGCCCCCCAGGCATGGCTGGCTCCGAGTGGGGACCCTCGTGAGCACCAGTGTGGGGCTGGGGGCCGAGCCAAGCCTCTCTCAGCATCCAAATCCGAGAAGGACCAGAGTCGAGGGAGCAAGGGTGACTGGAGAGGAGCTCCTGGAGGCCCCGCGGCTGCTCTGAGCCTCAGTTTCCCCCCGGGGCCAAGTCGCTGTCCGGCTGGGGGTGCCCCAGATGACCTGCGTCCCAGTCGGGGGCTCCACTGGGTTCCAAGCTCCGGATGTCAAGCCAGACAGGGTGAGGGGGCAAACCCTGCCCCCACTTCCAGACCCTGAAGAGATGGCGACCCGGCTTCGGGCTTCGAGGGTGGGTGGCGACCGTGGGCCGAGGCCCCGCACAGGAACCCAGCCAGGTGACCCTGGGTCCCCCTTTCCCAAGACCCCCAGCCTCCAGTCTCCTCCTCCTCCTTGGCCCCTTCCCCTCTAGGATGAGGACCCTGTGAGCACAGTGACACGGGGCCTCGAGGCCTTCAGGACCCGGGCTCCCTTCCAGAGCAGCCCTTTCAGGGGTGCCCAGGCGGCTGGCGTAGCTCTAGCGGGGGTCTTCGCCCCGACAAGGGAAGTGTTGTCCCCCTGGGGTGCCCGCTGCCGCAGGGGTTGGCTGGACTCCGTGGTATCTGGCAGCCAGCGCCCCCTGACACAGCCAATCCTGCCCTGACTTGCTGTGTCCCCCTGGGGAACAGACTTGGCCCCTCCTCTCCCCTCATGGCCACCACACGGGCTGCCCCACCCCGCCGCCGGGCCTCCTGGCTGTCACAGGGGTGCATCCCGCTCAGTTCAGCCTCGGGGCCTTTGCACTGTCTGTTCCCTCTGCCTGGAATACCCTTCCTCCACAGTGCTCCAAGTCTGGCTGCTCCAGGAAGGCGGGGACCTTGTCGGTCCTGCTGGCCCTGTGACCCCAGGCCTGAGACTATGCCGGCCCAGGTGGGTGCTCAGTAAATACTCAGGTATTGGGGGCGGGGCAAAATAGGTGATGGGGATCAAGTACAAACTTGCAGCTTCAAAATCACTAAGTCACGGGATGCAGTGCACAGCTTGGGGACACGGTCAGTGACATTGTCACAGCTTCGCATGGGGACATGGTGACTAAATTTCCCGTGATCGTCTCAGGACGTATATAAGTATTGAATTGTCATGATGTACGTCTGACACGAACAGGATGTTGTGTGTCAGTTGTACTGCAATAAATACAGAAACGTGTCAGTGAATTGAGTCTCTCTCTTTGTTTTGTTGGTGAGGAAGATTGGTCCTCAGCTAATATCTGTGCCCATCTTCCTCAATTTTATGTGGGGCGCTGCCACAGCATGGCTTAATGCGCGGCCTGCAGGTCTACGCCAGGATCCAAACCCACAAACCCCAGGCCAACAAAGTGGAGCTTGCAAATTTAACTGCTAAGCCACCAGGCCAGCCCCCCAAGTCTTGACTTTGAGTCTCAGTTTGATGCTCCCTCTGCCCCTGGCCACCCCCTCACTGCTGCTGTCGTCTCTTGGGGGTGGAGTGAGCAGGACCTGGCTGTGCCCGTGTTTGTGGAGCCCTGCTGTGTTTCTGGGCTGGGTGCTGCCCCGAGGGAGTAACAGCTTGGCTGTGTCCCAGCCCCCAGGAGATACACGGTCCACTGAACAACACCCGCGATGGTCACGCAGGATTTAGAAGCTCGTGAGTGTTACAGGCAACAGGAGAGGGTAAAGGGCATGTGGGGCGCTGCTGGCCGGCTGGGAGGTCACGTCAATGGGGTGTTGGGGAGGAGGTGACACTTGAGCTGAGAACTGAAGGAGGTGAGGGGGGAGCTGTGGGGAAGAGCGTTTCAGGCAGAGGGCACAGCCTGTGCAAAGGCCCTGGGGCAGGCCCAGGCCTGGTGTGTGGCTGGAACAGAGGGAGGAGGGGGAAAAAGGGAGGAGGGAAGGCAGGGAGGGGACAGGGCAGGACCTGTGGGGCCTGGGGGGCCATGGGGAGGACTCAGCTTCTCCTGGGACAGGAGGGGGAGCCTGGAGGGCTGCAGGCGGAGGAGGGCGGGACTGACTCAGGGGCTCCCGGGCGCCCTCTGGCGGTGGCTTCGGGGAGCACAGGCTGCGGGGGGAGAGCACAGGAGGCGGGGACCAGAATGGAGGTGAGTGTGCTGGTCCAGGGGGTGATGCTGGGGCTGGACCCATTGAAGCCACAGGGGGGCGTGAGAAGTGGGTGCATCTGAAGGCAGGAGGGCTCCAGAGGGGCGACAGGGCAGAGGGGCCCAGCAAACACGAGCCCCGCAGGCCCTTCTCCACGGCCTCGTGTGTCCCCCCAGGGTAACCACGGACCCCCGGCCCACCCCCTCCGCGACTCTGAGCGGTAGAATTTCACTTTGACGTCCCCTGGCCGGGAGCACCCCCTTGTCCGCGGTGGCTTCTGTTCCAGTGCCCTGGGCGCTCGGCAAGTCCTCCAGGGACAATGACACGTTCTTCCCCGACGACAGCGGATCATAACAGAACGAGTGCCAGGGGCCCGCCCTCCCCCCGTGAGTGAGCCGTGCCCTCCCATCTCCCGCTGGCCTCAGTTTCCTTCTCTGTCACCAGGACGAATGTGCACAGCTTGCTTAGCGGCTGTGAGGATAAACGAGCCCTCCTGGCAGGGGCGAGGCTCGTGGCTCCCTTCCGCCTCCCCCGGTGAGGCCGGTGGGCAGTGTGTCTGCAGGGCCGGGCCTGGGGGAGCGTGTGCCCAAGGCCTTGGGATGTGGCTCCTGTCGCTCGCCCGCCGTGCCCTCTCCCATGCCAGGCCTTGATCTCGCTGTGGCCTTTGCCGGGGCCTGCCCCTTGTGCGCATCTGGAAAGACCTCTTTGGCCTCGGGCTGCCCGGCCCAGCCTTGCCTCCTCCAGGAAGCCCTCCCGGCCCGCAGGGAGGCCCGGCTCCCTCTCTGAGTTCCTCCCTGTCCTGGTCCACATGGCTCGGGCTGGGAACGGCTTCGTCAATTCAGGGCAAGGTCCTCCACTGCCCCGTGTAGGTGGGGGCTGCGGGGCAGGGGGTGGAGGCTCCTGGCGGATAGGGGGGACTGAACGCTCTGGCTGGAGGCTGTCCCCACGGGGTCTGCAGGGGGCCGGGGATGATGTCAGCCCCTCATAGCCTAGTAAACATTTATGGGCAAGGAGGCCTGGGTTTTGGGGCTCCCTGGAACCCGGCGGGCAGCTGCTCCCCCTGCCCCACGGTGGGGGGCCTGGGCTGCTGGCGGGGGCCTGGCAGGCCCGCTCCAACCCTGGCGGCCAGCCCAGAGAGGGCTGGCGGGGCGTCGAGCACAGCCCTGGTCTGAGCCAGCTTGAGGGGAAACCGAGGCTGGGCGGTAGGAAGGGGCTGGCTGGCTGTGACCTGTCCCCTGCCTCCCCACCACGGGCCGGACCTTCTGGCCTGCGGTTTGGGCTTCTCGGAGAGCCAGGGCACCGAGGAAGGTGCGCGGGGGGGGGGGGGGGGGGGGGCCGGGGGGGGGGGGCGCGCCCAGGGGTGGAGTCGGTTTCCCCCTTGCGGGAGCATCTCTGACGGAGGGACCCTGTCAGCCCCACTCGGCCGGCGGCAGAAGGCAGGGCTGGGAGCCAGGAAAGCCGAGTGTGGGGGCTTGAGGGCAGGGCTGGGGTCCCGGAGCCCCTCCCCTCCTGGCCCTCAGGCGGAGGCCCCACCCTGGACGTGACCCCAGCTGTGCCCACTCGGGGGGTCACGGGGCAGGGGCCGGGAGAGAGCGGAAGGGCTGTGCAGGGCACAGAAAGCCCAGTGCACGTGTCCCCGCGGCCGCCCAGCGCCGGCTGAGTTATTACCTGGGCAGACAGAGGGGAGGCAGGGCTCCAAGGCCGCCTTGCAGCCAGGTCCCGTCCCAGGGGGCCGCTCGGCAGGACAAAGGGGAAGGGTCGGGCTGGATCCGGCCAAGAAGGGTGCATGGGGGCTGAGCCCCGCTCCGGCAGCCCCCGGGCCACCTGCAGCGGCCAGCCCCTGCCCGCCAGGCCCCATCCCCGCCGAGCGCACCCGCTCCCCAGGGTGGGCGGGAGAGCCCTAATTTATGGCCCGTGGCGGCGTGTTGGAGCAGGCCGGGCCCTCCTTGCCGGCTGCCAGGAAGCGCCGAGCCAGCTCTGCGGAGCCGGGGGCGGCCGCGCCAGCATTCCAGGGCCACCTAAATCACGGGGCCTGACAGGCGGCGGAGGGTGAGACAGCGACTCTCCCTGCTTGTCACCGCCAGGGTCCCCTGTCTGGCTTGGCCCCTGCCCGCAGGCGCCCAGTGGCCGGTCACCCACCTGTGGGATGGGGATGAGGCTCCTGGGCCGGGCCGGCTGGGGCTCCCCGCTCCAACGCCCAGGAATTTGGAGCCAGGCCGTGCGTGGGCCCTGAGCGTGTTTTCCACATGCTGGCGGCTCTGGGGGGAGGCCCGGGAGGGGATGGCTGCGACCTGCAGGGGGGCTGTGGGCCACGGGCCCAGCTCCCACGAGCTGGCAGGCCACCGCGGGCTCCCGTCCTCGACACCCTGTCCCTTGCTGAGGCCCGGCTGGCGCCGTGGCCCGGCGGGAACAAACCCCGAGGCCTTATCTCCTGCCCCGTTCCTCGCTCCCTCCCAGCACGCCGTGTCCGGGTCGCCCAGCCCTGGGGACCGGCTTCCCGGTGAAGAGCAGGGCGGGAGGGAAGGGTGCTCGCACACGCGGGTACGCACAGCATTTATTTTTAGACGCAGTCGGGGCTGTGAGGGCCCGGCCGGGGGCTCACACTTTGGGCTCTGCGAACACCTCCCAGCCCTCCAGCTGGCCCATCTTGACCAGGGCGGCCGTGAGGCCCATGTAGGCGCAGGCGGCGACTCCGATCCCGTAGCTGTGAGCTGCGAGGGGGGAGGGCGGTGTCAGGGCTCGGGAGCTGGGCTATGACGCCGGCTGTGACCCCGAGAGGACGCCCCTCGAGGATGAAGTGCCACGCCCCTCTGACTTTGAAGATGTGTGTGGAAACTGAGGCAGAGAGGGAGGCAGCGGTCCGGGCTGCGGGGTCTGGGTGGGGGCCACGAGGGAGGGCCCCCCGAGCTGCGGGTGGACGATGCTCAGTGAGCCTCGGCCTGCGCCCTGGCCGCTGGCACCAGGCCCCGTACCTGCCCCGTGGTCCCGGAGCTGGGGGCACAGAACGCCCCGCTCGCTGGAGCATGGCCGCTGAGGAGGGGTCTGCCTGCCGTGCCTGAGGCTCGCCCCCCATCGCAGGCCCGGGGGTGCATGGCACACCCAGACCTTGCCTCAAGTCTCCAGGCGAGGCATGGGCCTCCCTCCGCGGCGCCCTCCCTTCCCGGCCCGCTGGAACCTTCCACCAGGCACTCCCACTGCTGGGCCAGGGCGGTTTATCTGCGTGTGGCCTCGTCTCTCCTCCTGCCGGCCCTGAGGCTGTGGGAGGCGGGAAGGGCCCAGTTTGCTCCCTGTTCCAGGCAGCCCCACCGTGCCAGACTGGCCTGGGGCCCGGCCCTGCCTCCCACCCGGGAGGCATCCTCTGCCGGCTCCCGGTGACCTCAGGCCACCTCAGGCAGCTCCGAGCCTCCGTCCTGCATCTGTAAAGTGGCGATGGGCAGGGCAGCTCCCCTGCAGGGTGTGTGTGCGGTCAGCCAGGGCTCCGGGCGCACGGAGAGGGCCGGCAGTGCAAGGACCAGTGCCGCCCTCTCCCTGCTGGCGGGCCAGTGGCGAGGACAGGCAGGGACCTGTGTTCTCTGACAAGGCACGGCAGACAGAGGAGGGGCATACGGAGTGAGGGTGGCGGGGGCCCTGGATCGCACATGAGGAGGTCAGGGAAGTGAGAGAGGGAGCTGAGCTGACATTGAGGGGAAGGGTGTTCAGGCACAGTGAACAGTCTGTGCAAAGGCCCTGGGGCAGGACCACACTTGGCATGTGGGAGGAACAGCGAGGAAGCCTGTGGCTGGAGCAGAGGGTGCCAGGGAGGAGGGAGGGCAGGGAGGGGATGGGCAAGGTCAGGCAGGGCATGGGGGTGGGGCTGAGTGCCAATGGGGAGCCTCGGCCAGGGGCCGGTGGGCTTGGTGAGGTGGGCACAGTAGGTGCTTAGGCACCAGCAGTAGGCAGCATTACCGAACTGGCTGGTGGCCAGGGCTCAGAAGCACTGGGGGCTTTCACGGGACCCACCATCCTCCATTGGGGTGGGCGTTCGCACCCCCGCCCCGCCGGGCCATGGTCCTGGATGGAACAGAGAGGGAGGGGGGCTCACTCACCGCGCGCTCCCAGCGTCAGGCCCCCGGCGCAGCCTCCGATGAGGTAGTTCAGGGGGTCGTCCGGCTTCCCACGGACCTGGGCGCTGACGCAGGTGGTGAGGCCAAATATGGCGCCGATGGCGGCTGTGGGGTGGATGGGAAGGGACCGGTGCTCAGGGAGGGGCCCGGAGGCGCGGGGTGGCCCGGCGAGCGCCAGGGGGGCCCCTGAAGGAGAGGCCAAGACGCCCCGGCTCGCTCACCTGCGGTAAATGTGTACCGGCCCGTCCTCGCCACTCCCTCCAGGAAGGAGGCCGGCGGCTTGAGCGCGATGCTGTAGGCGGAGACGATCAGGCCTGCGGGACAGGGGACATCAGACCCGCGCCCTCGGCCTCCGAGGAGCCCTCCCTGTCCCCACAGCGTCCCCCTCGGCGGCTGCATGCGCCACCCCGTGCCCAGAAGGCGGCACAGACGACGCGGCGGCACCCCCAGGCCCTGGCACCCGGCCCCTCCCCGGGCCCATAGGGGCTCCATCTCCGTGGGGCCCGGGGCCCCTAATCCTCCTGGGCAGAAGCTAGGCCCCAGGGGCTGCCAACGCCCCCTGCTCCCCAGCCCTGGGTCCCTCCCCCCGGCAGCTCGGGCCCCTCACCCCCGCTGGCTGAGTGGCCGCCCTGCCCCGCCGCTGGCTCTTATGCACGAGGGGCCCGGAAGGGGGCCAGGCCTGGGGCTGAGTGCCAGCGGGCAGCGAGGACCAAGCTTCTGTCCTGGGGCCTCCTCCCCCAGCAGACCCTCTGCAGTGGACGGGCAGACCAAGACCCACCTGGTTGCTCCTGTCACCACAGCAGCCCAGCCCGGGGCTCCTCGTCCCCCAGCTGACCCCGCTCAGGCAGACGGCACGCCCTGCCTCACCTACAGGCCCCCGAGCGGCCCAGCTGCTGGAGGGACCTCCCGGGGTCGGCTCAGCCCAGACAAGACTGAACTGCCGTCTGCCAGGCGGCAAGGACACCACCCACTCACCCTCCTCAGGGCCCAGGGGCTCAGTCCCCTCACATCGTCGCTTCACGGGAAGGGAGAGGGCCCCACACAGGCAGGGCGACTTGTCCGATGTCACCCAGCAGCGCAGCCTGGGAGCCAGGTGGGTCTGACCCACGGCCACGGGCCAGCCCTCACTGTGCGTCCCCAGGCCTCCCGCTTCTGCAGACCCAGCCGGCTGGCTGTGGAGGCCCCCACGGGCCCTCCCAGGCTAAGCAGTGCCCCCACCCCCGGCCTTGGCTCGCATTCAGCTCACGCCGGACAGTGGGGTTGATTTCCAGAGCAGCCCCGGGGAGAGCCAAGACTGCTACCCCACTGCACAGCTGGGGACACCGAGGCCCAGGGTTGAAGGGGAAAGAGCTCTTATAAAGAAGGCTCCCACGTGCGAGGCCTGGCGGATGCCCCAGATCTTTCTCCCAATCCCACGGTGAATCCTAGGGGCCTGTGCGACCTCAAGAGACAGGAGGCTGGGAAGGGGCAGTGGGGCCGGAGTCCGTTCCCAGTCCGCGCTGCCTCCTCGGCCCAGCAACCCCCATCCTCAGTCATTCTCTCACACGTGTCCCCCCCAAAGAGACCTAATTAGAAGGGGCTCCCAGCCCCACCCGGGACCTGGTGTCATGACCTCTGGGGCTGGATCAGGAATGAGGGTCTTACGAGCCCCTAAAAGGGGAACCACTGACAAGATTCAGTGATGGTCCCAAAGCCGGTCACAGAGTGAGTCCTACGGGGAACCTCATGGACCCCACCCCCATATGCCAGCAGTCCTGGCCGAGGGGCCCCAGCTCATGGATCACTCTGGACACAGTGAGTGTCCCCAGCATCCTACGTCCCTCAGAAGCCCTGGGGCTGACAGCGGATGACCTGGGGGCCCGCTGATCGTCCCAGGGTCAAAGACCGCCCTGCCCCCAAGTCTTCCCCAGCAATCATCCCGGACGGTGACCTGTCACAGCCCGCCCCTCCAGGAGCCGCCCCAACTGCTCAGATGCTGCGATCCCCCAGCACGCGAGGATCTCTGCTGACTCGGAGCTTCCACAGCCCATCGCCCCCTCAAGAGGCCCCCTCCCTAACCCCTCCCCCGCTGTGGCCCTCTGGGCCTCCAGCAAGGACCTCCAGACACAGCGTGCATTCGTCTATACGTCCATTCATCATCACAGGCAGCAGCGACTGTGTACCCTCCATTCATTCATTCACTCATTCATCCACTCACTCATTGGTTACCAGTCAGGCCTTCCTTCATTCATTCATCCACTCGGTTACTGTGTATCCATCCATCCATCCATCCATTCATCCATCCACTCATCCGGTTAGTATATCCATTCATCACTCAGCCACTCACTCATCCGGGTACCGTGTCCATTCGGTCACTCATTCATTCATCCAATTACCAGCACCTTCATTCACTCGTTCCTTCACAAAATTACCATGCGCCCCATTCCCCTTAAACAGTTACTGTGTGCTTTCCTTCCTTCATTCTCCCTCACCCATTCATTCATTCACAGCCAGTTACTGTGTGCCCACAAGGTGCGGGCTCTTCTGGGAGGCCCGCTCCTTGCCCCCCAGGGGCTCGCCACCTCAGGGAAGGCGGATGTGAAAGGAGCTCTCGGGTGGGGGCCGAGGGGAGGCAGGGCATGAAGGAGGCGGCAGGAGGGGAGGGTCCAGGAGCACATTTCAGCCAAGTCCTGTGTGTTGAGTGGAGCTGGCCGGTGAGAAAACGCGGGCAGGCAAAGGGCGACACACCCTCACAGTGACACCCTCGAAGAGCCCTGGGCGCCCTGCAGGGCTCGCGGAAGCCAGTTATGAACCCCAAATCCAGGTGACACCCCAGCATGGCACCTCCATCGAAAGCTCCTACCCACACCCCCTCAAAGGCCCTCCAGCAAGTCCCCCAGAGGCTCCCACTCGGCGGGACCCCACCCTGGGACATGCTCGGGCTCCCCACAGCCTCTGAGACTTCAGTCCACCCCTGTGGTGTGTGCATTTGTGAGCACGAGCGCGCGCGCACACACGCACACACACTCCCGCTCACAAACACCAATGTTCATGTCTTTCCAGTTTCAAATCTAAACTACCCACTTCTTCCTGAAGGCCCCACATCCCCTCTCCTACTTTAATCCCCCCTAAGACGCAACCATGACCCTCCCGAATGTTCTGTCACGCATTCCCCCATGTCAGCACCTCCCCACAGGAATCTGCCAGAATGACTCCCCTCTATGTAGACCCAAACCCACAGTGCGCAGCCCTCCTGGGCTCTCAGGGACCCCCCTGGAGACCCCACCACACAAACGGCCGGTCCCAACAACTCAACATTCAAGCAGACTCCACACAACCCATCCCCCCGGGACTCCCTCTCCGGCCCTTTCTCCTGAAGACCCTCCATAAGGACCCCCCTGGGAACACGCCCTGGCCCGGCCACCCCCTGGAGCAGATCACCCCACCTGGATTTGCAGCCCGCCTCCAAAAGCCCCCGGGGCCGTGAATACACCTCTCGATCTTCAGTTTCCACTTGTGAGAAACGGGGATGGTAACGGTCGATCTTACTAAATACCATGCGGAAAATCAGCGATTATTCGGTCTACACGGATGCAAATGCCTCCCAAGGGAGATGCAACTTCTGCCAGGCCCTGTTCCAGAAGCTGGAGGTAGAGAGGGGGCCAAAGCCACCATGTCTACTGCTCAGGGAGGCAGGGAACGACAGGAGAGTGGAAGGGGGGGGGACTCTGGGGTCCCCGGGGAATGTCCAGGCTGTGTGGGTCCTCTCATAGGCTGGCTCCAATAAAAGCTTCAGACGTCCCTGAGAACCCCCCTCTCCTGGACCCGAAAAAGACCTCATCCCACTCCAGAACCTTCTCAAACTTCTGTACCCGCCTCAGACACCCCAATAAGAACCCCAGGATCCCCTCAAATCATCTCAAAGTCACCCAGTTGGAAAGTCTCCTGACCCTGCAGCTCCTGTGACCCCGATAACAACCCTGCGCCACTCCACGACTCCCACTGAGCCTGGCGATGGCTTCAACAATAAGCCCCCAATGCCAGCACCCGCTTCTGATGACCTCAGTGACCAGCCTGTCACACGCACCACGACCTCAGAGCCCTCCCGCCCTGCCAGACCCCCCACAACGTCTATCTCACACAGGAGTTCCCCAGAGCCGCCCCAGACACCCCGACGACAACCCGAGGCCACTCTGCGACATCCCCAGCCCCCCAGGACGCCCTCGCACAGCCTGCAGTGACCCCGTGACCTCCTGCGCCCTCCGACTCCGGGGGCACTCACCAGCGGCACCACCGACACTGGTGCTCGCGTAGGCCTTGCGGTGGCACTCGGTGCCTTCGGGGAGGTCCCAGTACTGGTGAAGAAGCGACCGCGCCATGGTCGCGCACCCCCAGCCGCACACCGTACACCCCGCCGGCTCCCCGCGCCCAAGGGCAGCCGCCGCTCGCTCTCGCGAGACTTTCTGGGCTGCGCGCGCAGCCTCCCGGGCGGACGGGCCGGCAACAAGCGCGCAACTTTATTGAGCGCCGCGGACATAGACACGGGTCGCGCGCACGCGCCGGAGGCAGGAGAGGAGCAAAGAAAGAGCGCGTGCAGCTCGGGCCGACTTCTGGAGGGGGAAACTGAGGCCGACCGAGATCAGTGAAGCCAGATCTTGCTAATTCCAGCTCAGAAAGACCTAGGTTAGCAATGATTTGACTCCCGGAGGTGGGGCCTAATCTAGGGGCGGGACTACACTTGATAGGAGGGAAGTGTAATTATGGGGCGGGGCATGGCGGGGCTGTGGCCACTCCCAGCGCCAGGACCTGTATGGGGCGTGGTCACGCCCTGTGGCCCCTCCCCACTACGGAGTCAACCGCGTGCGACTATTTGGGGGCGTGGCCAGAATCAGGGGCGGGGCTTGACGGGAAAGTGAGCAATCCTAGCGCTAGGCTCTTAGCAGGATCTAGCCTGTGCCCACTTTGTGGCTTGTCCAAGCCCTGCGCTAGGCTTGGGGGCGTGACCAGAACCAAGGCATAACCTAAAGGGAAGTTGACCAATAGGAGCCCTAAGGGGCGCGGTCGTGGCCAATCATGTGAATCTGAGAAAAGCGCAAGGGGTTCTGGGGGCGTGGTCAGGCTTGTAGAACCTCGGGATCCGGACCAATCCTCGTGTTAGCTTCTGAGTAGGGCGGGGCCTGTGTCGAAGGAGTGGCCAATCCCGTTGCCAGAGCCAGAACTGGGAGCGCCGCCGGAGGACGGGGCCAACGTGGGGGCGTGGTCTGTCAAGACCTTGGCCAATCTTGGAGCTAGACCGGGCTCAGGGGTGGAGTTTCGAGGTGCCGGAACAAGCGAGGGTGTTTGGGTTTGAGGAGGGCGTGACTCAGCCCTGGGGGCGGGGCCTAGCCGGAGCCAGGGCCAATCGTGGGCCTCTGGGGGCGTGGTCCGCCAGGGGGCGGGGCCGGGGCCGGTTCCGGGCGTCCCGGGGGCGTGGCCGGCTGAACCCGGGCCGGGGCCATGTCTGCGCCGCCGCCCCTGCAGATCCGCGAGGCGAACGCACACCTGGCGGCCGTGCACCGGCGCGCGGCCGAGCTGGAGGCGCGGCTGGACGCGGCGGAGCGCACGGTGCGCGCCCAGGCCGAGCGCTTGGCTCGCCACGACCAACAGCTGCGCGCCGCCCTAGACGAACTGGGCCGCGCCAAGGACCGGTGAGGCCCGGGGCGGGCCCGGTGGACTTCCAGGAGGAGGCGGGCGGAGGTGGAGTGGACATTGTAAAGGGAGGACCGGCAGGGGAAACCGTGTGCATCCACGTGGAGGCTCGACTACTGGTGGGATTGAAAAATAACCACCCAAACTCTTGACTTAGTCATCAGTAGGTAAAGTTGAGAGATGTCCTACAAGTGTGGATTTCGAACTTAAAACAGGGCTCATTTTCCCACAAGGCAAAATTGGCTGGTACTGAGTGGTTAGGGCCCACCGACCTCCTGGTGTAGGTATTGGGAGCCATGGCAGGTTCTTGAGGAGCGGAGGATGGGCTCGTATCAGGGGTTTTGAAGAGTCGGTCTAGCAGCTGAGCATTGAAAGGGATGAGATGAGGGCCCAGGGAGGAGGGAGGTGCTGGGGCCCAGGTGGGAAAAGGTTGGAGCTGGTTGGAGTGGTTCATTCATCTTTGCTGAGCACGTGCTATGAGCGAGACACGGTGCTGGGGACTAGGGCACAGTCAGACCTCCCCGCCCTGCCCTTCAGCAGACACATCGCTGGGCTGATGGGGTTGCAGTGGAGGGGCACACAGGGCTCTGGGGGACCCAGGGGAAGGCTTCCTGGAGGAGGAGCCATCTAGGCTGGACAAGAAATAGGAAAAGATGTGGGGGAAAAGGGAACTGCAGGCCGAGCGAGGGGGCGTGGCGAGGGGTGTGCTCTGCTCAGGCTGCCGTTACAGACGCCACAGGCGGCCGGCTTCCACAACACACGGTTATTGCTCACAGTCTGGAGGCTGGAAGCCCAAGATCAAGGTGCCGGCAGATTCGGTTCCTGGGGAGGCTCGCCGGTGGCCGCCTTCTCGCTGGGTCCTCACACGGCAGAGAGCGCGAGCGAGCTCTCTGGTGCCTGTTTTTATGAGGGCGCTAATCCCATGGGGGCCCCTCCTTCAGGACCTCATCTGACTTTACGTACCTCCCACGGCCTCGCCTCAAACACCATCACATTGCGGGGTAGGGATTGAACAGAGGAATTTCGGGGCGACACGAACAAGGGGTGCCTGGAGGCAGTGGTGAGGAGCATGGTTTTCGTCCTGATGGTGGTGGGGAGCCTCGGGAGGCCGGGAGCAGAGAGAAGACCCTCTGGTTCCCCAGTCCTATAACCCCCCACCCCGCCCTGTCTTGCCTTCCTGCCAGGGAGATCGCCGCGCTCCGAGAGCAGCTGCTGACCTCTGAGGCCACCGTCCACAGCCTGCAGGCTGCCGTGCGCCAGAGGGACGAGCTCATCGGGCAGCTGCACCCCCGGGCCAGGCTGCTGCAGGACATCTGTCGCCGCCGGCCACCCCTGGCTGCGCTGCTGGCCGCCCTGGCTGAGGCCGAGCGCCTGGGGCCCCTGCCAGCCAGTGACCCCGGCCACCTGCTCCCTGGCGGGTCCAGTCCACCCGTTGCCAACAGCACTGGGGAGGAGGGCGACGGGGATCCCCTGCAGCCTGCAGTGTTTGGGACAACAGTGTGAGCCCTGGGGCACAGATTCCAGAATGGAGACGCAGGGCCCCAAGGGGGCCTTTTCCCATCTCTGTGGGTGTCCTCGGGGATCAAGGGTATCCCAGAGGGGATCCCGTGGCAGAGCCCTGATCCTGTCCAGGCACCAGAACCTGCTAAGAAGTTACAGGTTTCAAACGGGCGGCCTGCAGGCCAAATGCAGATGTTAGCCCAGACCGTTTTTTTTTTTTAAACCCGAAACTTTGAGTCAATCACCGTTGTTGAAACACTGGCGGCGCTAACGCAAAAATCTGGATTTCTGGCTTCAGACTTGGCCATGCCTGCCTGGATCTGAGCCCAGGGTATCCTCTTTAGCCAGAGTCTGAGTTTCAGTTGGCCCCCTCTTCTCTCTTAGGGCCAGATGTCTGGCCCTGAAGCATGTGAGTTTGTGACCTCTCTTTCTCTAGTGGAGGCAGATGGTATCAAGTTCCACATGATTTGAGTTTTTCTCCCATTTTTGCCTGCCCCGCCCCCCCGCCACCCTGATTCTTGTTCTTCTGTTAGCATCCCCCATCCTAGGGCTAAAGCTTTTTCTTACTCTTCATCCCAGACCAGAATTGGGAGCCTCGAGCTTTGTGCCATTTTGCACTGGTTATCTGAAGACAAATTTTTAATCCTAGAGATATTTTTTTCTTAACTCTGTCCTTCCTTCCACCTTTAACGCAGAAGGAAGAGTGCGTGGGTCAGACATGCTGAGATGCTGGTGGCCTGGCTGTGCTGCCCAGGGAAACTCAGGCATCCCTTAGTCTTTTCTGATAGCATCCTGCCTCAGGGCCTTTGCACTGGCTGTTTCCTCTGCCTAGAATGCTCTTTCCTCCCGATGTCACATGACTGGTTCCTTGTCACTCAGGTCTTTGCTCAAATGTCACCTCCTCAGAGAGGCCTTCCCTGACCCCCTTATCTGTAGTAATTCCTCTCCCTGCTCCCTCGCTGTTAGCCCATTCAGTTTTCCTTATGGAACGTTTTACCAGCAGGGTATGAGCTTCATGAGGTTTTTGTTCTGTCACCAGTGCCTGGCACACCCTGAACTCCAGTAGGAACAGGATGGGTCTGTGGGCCCTGAAGGGAGCCAGGGGTCTCCAGCACATCTGATGAGGGCCCCCTCCACACATCAGTCCAGCTTTTGTACCAAGAAGCTGGCTCCTTTTGAAACTCTCTAGAGAATGTATCCTTTTTTTTTTTTTTTGCTGAGGAAGATTAGCCCTGAGCTAACATCTGTGCCAATCTTCCTCCACTTTATATGTGGGTCGCCGCCACAGCATGGCTGATGAGTGGTGTAGGTCTGTGCCCAGGATCCAAACCTGTGAACCTGTGCTGCCGAAGTGGAGTGCACCAAACTTAACCACTCAGCCACGGGGCCAGCCCCTGGAGAATCTATTTTTTAACTCTCATTTCTACACTGCCCTTCCCGGCCCGAGATGCTCAGGGTGCCTTGCTTTTTATCAAACCAGGGAAGCCTGTGCCTTTCTCTGCCCAGCCCAAGTGCCCAGCCTGGTACCACGGCAGCCGCTTCCAGGCCTCCTTACTCAGGGAATTGTCATAGCAGGAACTGCCGAGGGGCAGGGCCCCCGTCAGCCCGGAAAGGTCGACGTCCATCCCCAGCCCTCAGGCTGGCGCCGCCTGCCTGCCTGGCGCCTGACAGTGACCCCTCAGTGTGGTGACAATGGCCCCGTTTTCTCTGGATGAATAAGGGGGGGCTGTTTGGATGAGGGGGAGGCAGGCTGGGGCCTGTCTGAGCTCAAGAATAAACCGGGTGACTTCTCGGCCTCGGTCCTTCCTCCTTTTCTCCTGTGCGGGGGCTGGAAAGGTGGTCCCTGTGCCGTTCCTGGTCTGGGGGGGCAGCCCCGCTGGGGGAGGAGACGCAAGGAGGGCAGGAGGGCCTGGGCCACGGCCAATGTTTGGAGGCATCAGTGTTGAAATGCTCATTCTCTTAAAGATGAGGAGATGCCACAACAGAGCTAGAACAACTGTGATTATATTTTACATTTTTCTGTAGAAAAAAAAACTTTGATGTCTGTAACAGGCATTAAAAACACAATGGAGTATTTCTCTGCCTACCCGAAGGGTGTCGGCCTGCAGCAAGCCCTCAGCGTTTTCACAGTGGAATGCCACTGCGGTCTCACGAAACTGTTAGGTCAGCGGTGGCTCGAATCACACGGCCGGTCGCTTGTCATCCACGGCCTGGTTGCTGGCTGCAGCATGGTGGTGTGTGTAAATTCAAGCTGGGAAAAGCCTCTGACGGTCCCCAAGCGTCCTGGGAAACCCAGTGTTCTTTTCCATCCGGCCTGGCAGTGGAACGCTCTCGCTTGGCAGAGATGTCCAAAAGCTAAAGCGAAGGCCTCCTGTGACGGTGGCAGCTTCCTCTTGGGTGATGTCAGGGGTCAGGGCGGCTTCTCCGGTGGGTGCCACAGTCCCCTGGCTCACCAGCTCGTCATGAGTGAGCCCACCAAGTGATGTTTGAGGGCTGAAGACTAACCACTGAGAGACCCGGGTCGACAAAAATGCCGTGACTGGCCCAAGTGACTCCCGTGAACGGCCTTGTCCAATGGAACATTGAAACGTCTGTAGGACTCCGCTGGGTCTCGGCTCAGCCGGCACTTGGTCTGAGGACCTCCCGCAGCTTTGGCTACTGCCCTGTGAAAAGCCCAGAGAAGGGAGGGGACCTGCCCCAGGTCACACAGGAACTGGGCCTTGAGCCTCCCTGGCCACGGCCTTGCCTCTGTCCATCAGGAGCACTGTGGTCCCTGTAGGGCTGTGGCTTGCCCTTCCCCCTTGCGCCCAGGAAGAGACCTCCTGATCTGGGCCTGGGCGAGAGCGAGCAGGACAGGGGGTGGGCGGTGGTGCTAGGGACAGCACTGCCTTGTCCCTCTGGGCCCTGCCACTGGCCGCGCGGGGCTGTGCTTAGAGCCACGAGGCCCCGGCACAGTGAGGGTTACAGCTGGGGCCCCTCCCAGTCTCCAGAGCCACCGTCCCCTAGCAACAGTCCTACCAGGCAGGACGCACTGCCAACACTGGGCAAAGCGGCCGCCCGAGGGCTCGAGGACAGACGACGGGAGTCCCCTCGAACCCTCTCCCACCCAGCCGCCCAGAGAACCCCGACCCAGCATGGCTGCTGTGGACGCCACCGTGGAGAAGCTCCGGGCACAGTGCCTGTCTCGAGGGGCCTCGGGCATCCAGGGCCTGGCCAGGTGAGCTGTCCCCTCGCGCCTTCCCGACCCCCAGCCCCAGGGATCACTCTCCAACCACGTCCCCTGCCCCTCAGGTTTTTCCGCCGCTTGGACCGGGACGGGAGCCGAGCCCTGGATGCGGCGGAGCTCCAGCGGGGCCTGGCCAAGTTGGGGCTGGCGCTAGACACGGCCGAGGCGGAGGGCGTGTGCCGGCGCTGGGACCGTGACGGCAGCGGGACGCTGGATCTGGAGGAGTTCCTGCGGGCGCTGCGGGTGAGGCTGCCATCTGGGGGAGTCGGGCTCTCAGCGGGCTTCTCTGTGTCAACGCTGAGACGCCGGATGCCCGGGCACTCATTGCTAAGGGGCGCCTGCTGGGGCTCAGCTCTGCACTTGATGCCCGGAGGAGTGGGAGCAGCCCCAGTCATCACGTCCCCCTCCCCAGCCCCCCATGTCCCAGGCCCGAGAGGCGGTCATTGCAGCCGCGTTTGCCAAGCTGGACCGCAGTGGGGATGGCGTGGTGACGGTGGATGACCTGCGGGGGGTGTACAATGGCCGCGCCCACCCCAAGGTGCGGAGCGGGGAGTGGACCGAGGAGGAGGTGCTCCGCCGCTTCCTGGACAACTTCGACGCCTCCGAGAAGGACGGGCAGGTGGGTGCCCGCGCCCCTCCCCCCCCGCCTGGCCGCTGGTCCCCACTTACAGCCCGTCTGCCCCAGGTCACGCTGGCCGAGTTCCAGGACTACTACAGCGGCGTGAGCGCCTCCGTGGACAGGGACGAGGAGTTCGTGGCCATGATGACCAGCGCCTGGCGGCTGTGAGCAGCGCGCACTCACTCAGCCAGCGCCAGCGTAGAGTAGGATCCCCCCCCTACCCGCCCCCGGGCCCCCTGAGCCAGGACTCCTTTGCCCCTGGGGTGGGGGCTGGAGCCGAGTGTGAACTGAAGCCGCAGAGCCGGCTGGACCAGGTCTCAGAGGACCCGGCCTGGCCAGCAGGCGTTAGTGGGACAAAGGTTCTGGGATGGGTCACTGGCTCAGGACCCCAGGGAGAAAGGCACCCCACCCCCACCGGCCCCGCTGTGCTGACCCCAGGCCTCTCAAAGCCGCAGCAGATGCCCCCCAGCCCCAGCCCTCCCTCGTGGGTCCCCGGGAGCCAAGTGGCCCCCAAGTGGGGAAGAAACAGCTCTGTGTGAAGCGAGGCTGCACGGAGGTGGCCGGTCCTGGAAGGCGGCCGAGGCTTGTCACCTGCCCAGGCCTGGAGGGAGTGCCTGGGGCCCCCAGGCTGCTGAGGGCCCTCACCCGGGGAGGCGGAGACCATCCTGGCCAGGCTGGCTGGCTTCCTGAGGCCCCTGGGGCATGCAGGAGGCCAGGGGTTTAGTTAAAAGTTTTAATGTGGTTCCCAAATACATTTCATATGACAATCTTACATAAATGTTTCAAAACACATGGGCGTTATCTGGTTTTACTTGTCACTAGCTGGCTAAGGCTTGAAGCAGAGACGTGTGACCGGATCTGCCGGGGGTCCTCTGGCGTCTTCCGGTGGCCCAGGCTCCCCCACTGGCCGACCCGGGGTGGGCGGCACAGCTGCAAGACCAGCCTTCTCCTCACCCGGGGGCGGGGCCGTGCTCTCCTTGGAAATCCGGATCCCTGGGCGGGCCCTCTTGGCGGGTCTCCCAGGGGGCAGCTCCCAGCCGTGCTCCACGTTGGGTGGGCAGGGCGCCCTCCTGTGGGTGCTGCGAGCGGGGGGGACGGCCTCCTGGAATGCCCCAAGAGGGCCCCCTCTGCCTCTGCCTCTTAGAGGCCCCCCGCCCCCGATGGTCTTGGAGGCAGTGACGTCCAGGGCTGGGCAAGGAATGGCCAACAGCAGGAAGCAGGTTTGCGCCTGGGTGCCAGGTGGCAGGTGACCCACGTGACAGGGAAGGCAGGAGGGTGGGTGGGGCCAGGTGCAGGGACACTTTCCTAGGTCAGCTCTCTCCAGGCCTGGGGCCCAACCCCTCAACACCCCAGGACTGAGCCTGGAGGAACCCTGGGTGGGGGACAAGTGGCGTCGGCCCCCCTGAGCGGCCTGCTGAGCACCCGAGCTCCCCCGTGGGGCCCCAGCACAGACGCCAGGCCCACAGGGAGAACGAGGATGCGCTCGCGATGGGGCTGCAGCCGCCCAACGCACAGGAGCATCTTAGATAATCTAAGAAACCACAGAGAGCCTTGGTGTGGGGAGACCTACGACACAAACCCCAAATCAGAACGCGGAAAACGAAGATAGAGCGTGGCTGACAGAACGTCCAGCAGGCCCAGTGTCGATGCTGGCGTGGACAGCCCCGGGGCCTGGGCAGGTGGCGGGGACCCATGGGGGCGGCGGCGGTGGGGAGAGGCCGGCGACACAGGAGGGAGGGGAAGAAACGAGGTGTCGCAGTCCCAGTGAGAAGCCGTGACAAGTCTTAATGTGCCATTTCAATTCAAAGGAGGGGAGGGAAGAAATGTTCTTTTTGCTTTGCTCATCAATATGATGAGGTCTCGTGTCCCAACCACATTCAGGCAGTTCCCGAGTCTGCTTCTGAACGGGACGTGCGGATCCGGACTGTGGCCAACCCCGTGGGGAGTGTGGTTCCCGAGCCCCGCGCCTCGACGCTGATGGCAGGAAGGGCGGGCGGGCGGGCGGACAGACGGACAAAGCAGCAGGCTCGCGGGCAGCCGGCTCCCGGCGCTATGTGCTCCCGGCCGTCTGCCCGTCCCCTTCGTCACCAGCGCCTGTGGGAAGCAGTGGCCCTGTGGTCAGGTCCCCCCTGCATGGAGCCCCAGCCCCTGGGTCAGGCCCCCGACCACAGGAGGGAGGGCCTCTGGCAACCCAGCTCCCTCGTGCCCTCCAGGGCAGGGCGGCCCAGCTTACCGCTTCCGGAGGCTCCTGACGGAGCCAGGACATCGTCGTCATCACTGTCGTCCTCGTTGGATGGCGCCGCCCCGGGCTCCGGGGCAGGCGTCTTGGCCTCCTGCTCCTGCTCCACGCGGCTGCGCAGAGCCAGGATGCGGTGGTGCAGGGCCGCGTACAGCTGGCCCGTGTCCTTGGAGCTGGCCTGCGGAGGCAGAGAAGTGCCAGGTTGTAAGGCCTCCTGGGCAGTGTAGCCACTGCCCTCGCCGTGACGGGACGCCACCATCCCTGGGCCAGGAGCCTGCCCCTCTCTCGAAGCTCCCACAGCCCCGCGCCCGTCCTCCCCAGGGGCCCAGACAGCCCGCAGCCGGCCGGCACTCGGCCACTAGGGCAATTCTCTCTCCCACCCTCCGGCCCGACCCGCTCGTTCTGGAGACCAGCCCACCCGCTCATGCCGAGTGCTGAGCGCTGCGGCGCGGCAGGTCCAGCCTGGCGGGCCCTGAGCGGGTGCCCCGAGGAGTCGCCCCGCTGCAGCAGCTCAGGCGGGCGCAGCCCTCGTCCTTCCCCAGGAGTCGCTCACCGAGATCAGGAAGACCTTCACGCCCTGGTCCTCGGCGTCCGTGGCGGTGATGCGCACGCTCTTCTCGCTGGCCTTGTCCATCTGCATCTGCGCCCACAGCTTGGTGTTGAGGATCAGCCTCAGGCTGCCCTGGGTCCGCATCACTGCAACCGACAAGGCCGCTCAGCGCTGGCCGCCCACGCCAGCCTGAGAGCAGACGCTGTACCCGGGTGACACCTCACGAGTCTCCTGAGGTCCCTGAAAGCGCCTGTCTGCTGAGCAACAGCCCCCCGACGCCGGGGCCGGACCCGGCACCCTGCTCCCCTGGCCCGCACGACTGAGGCCACGCCCAGCCTGTGGGGGTTTTGTTGGTTCACGCAGCGGGTGCCAGGGCAGCGGCTCCCTTGGGGATGGGGGTGGTCGGGGGGAGCTATGGCCGACTCCAGGGACGGGGGGCCAGACGGGGACATATGTGGGCTGTACACAGGGGGGACATGCACTTTCTTTCTGTGACACACTGTATGGAAGTCGCCACCCTCGACTGTCTCCCATGCGTAGGCCAAGCCCCAGGCCCTGTCCTGTGGTTTTCTTAGAAAAAAGGTCAAGGAAGCTCAGAGCTTCCATTGGCGGGGAGGCAAGGACATGCCAGGGTCAGCGTTCATGGAGAAAACCAGGCACGGGCCTCCCCTCTCCGGAAGTGCTGAGTTCCACCCACAGCGGGTCCGAGGCAGAGTCAGCCTGCCCGCGTGCCAGACCCCTCCTCCCGCTGCGCCCTGGCCCATGGACCCGGCGACCTCGCCTTCCTGCCAGCCCAGCTGTCCCCACTGGAACAGGCCTGGAGACGGTTAGAAGTTGTCACCCAACCCAGGGCCCCAGACGGCACACAGGACGGGAGCAGCCTGGACCAGCTTGTGGAGGCCTGCGGGGTCTGGGCCCCAACCGACAGGATCTCCCCGTGCCCACTCCCTGAGCCCTCCGAGCTGTGACCAGCTGGCTGCGGGTGGGGACCGAAGAAGGGGCAATGAGGTGGGGGGGGCCGGGGGGCAGTCACAAGCACTGTGCTCTCCCCATCCATACGCTCGAACACTCCCATAGGGAAGGACGAAAAAGAAATCGAGGGTGTGTTCAAGGGGGAGAGAGAGCGGGGCGCACAGGAGGGCCGCTTCCATCTCCGTCCCAATCTTGGGACCATTCTGAGCCCAGGGGCGTGAGGACACCGGCGCAAGGACGCGACGTGGGCAACCAGGCCAGGAATCAACGCCCCTGTCAAGGCCAGAAGACTCATTTGGGAAGATTAAAAAAAGGGCACACTTTCACATACACACACACGTACACGCTGTCTTCAAATGTGTATACGTGAACGTGCACCCCCACAGCACCCCCACGTCTGTAACATGCACACTTCTGGGCTAAGACTCACGTATAGACGGCCCTGGAGCTTCATTCACGACAGTCAAACAAATCAGAACCACCTCAACGGCCATCAACAGGGACATGGTTTCGTACATTCATTGTCAATGGAACACGGAGATACAAGTTTTCCCCAAAAAGGCCGATTTTTAAGGAAAATTTAATGACAAAGGAAGACGCTCACAGAAGTGCAGAAATCAAAATCGCCCCATTTCCTTAAAAAAGAACCACGAAACAGGCCTGGACCGCCAAAATGTTATTAGCAGAGGTTTCTCTTTTTTCATCGATGTTTTTTCCTTTCTATCCTAGACAACTGGCACCTGGCTGATCAGAAAGCGAGTTAAGAACCACTCCCTACTTTTACCGCTGCCACACTGAGGCAGGGCAGGGTCGGGGAGGGGCCAGCGGCTGGAGCCTCGGGGGCAGGCCGCCCGCGGGCTGTGGGTGTGGGTGCGGGGCTCCCCCGTGGGGACCTGCTTCCGGCTGGCTGGGTGCAGGGCCGAGTCAGGACCTTGCCCTCCGTGCCCCGGGAACTCACAGCCTCCCGGGCCCCTCTGAGGGGCCCCGGCCAGCTCACCTAGTCGGGACTGTAACGTGCCGTCGTCGGCCGACGCCATGTCGTTGAGTCTGAGCAGCCCCCGGCCTCTCTCCACCCACGACTGCGAGGTCTTGTCAAAGACAAACAGCTTGCACTGGATCTGGAACACAAGGCGGCCTCCAGGTGAGCGGGACCCTGACCGGAGGACGGATCCCGGGAGCCTCCTGGGGTTGGCAAACTGTGGCCTGGGGGCCACGCCCGGCTGCTGGCCAGTTTTTTGTCCTGCCTCGAGCTAGAACGGGTTTTACATTTTTAGGGAGGTATTAAAAAAATCCTTAAGGAAATGCCATCGGAACACAATGCGATACCACTTCATACCCACTAGGATGGCTAGAAGCAAAGACAGATCGTAACAGGCACATGCAGGACGTGGAGAAACCAGAAGCCTCACGCACGGCTCGTGGGATGTACAATGGTGCAGCTGCGGGGGAAACCGCTCCTCCGAACGGAAGCATGGCGCTCTCACAGGGCCCAGAAATCCCACTCCTGGGGTCCACCCGAGAGAAATGAAACATGTGTCCACACAAAAACTCGCACACGAATGTTCACAGCAGCATGAGTCCTAAGAAGCAAAAAGTGGACAGAACCCAACCATCCAGCCACACGCTGGAGTACAATGCAGCCATGAAAAAGAGTGAGGTCCTGACAGCCGCACGTGCACGGACCTGCACACACGATGCTCAGGGAGAGAAGCAGACACAGAAGGACACACGGTGTGTGATCCCATTGACGGGAAACGTCCAGAACAGGCAGATTCACAGACAGAGAGCGGGCTTGTGGGTGCCAGGGACTGGTGGGGTGGGGGGTGACTGCTTATGTGCAGTTTCTTTTTGAGGGACAAAATTGTTCTAAATTAGACAGTGGTGATGGTTGCACAACTCTCTGAGTACACTAAAAACTACTGAATTGTATGCTTTAAAAGGCTGAATTTCATAGTACGTGGACCATATCTCAATAAAGCCGTAAAATACATTAAAAAAAGAATATGCAACAGAGATCCTTGTGGCCCTTGACAGAAAAGTCTGCAGATCTTTTTAAGTCAGGGTCTCGTAACACGGACGGATTAAAAATCAAGGTTGAGGGGCCGCCCTGGTGGCACAGCGGTTAAGTGTGCACATTCTGGTTTGGTGGCTTGGAGTTCGCCATTCAGATCCTGGGTGCAGACATGGCATCGCTCATCAGGTCATGCTGTGGCAGGCGTCCCACATAAAACAGAGGAAGATGGGCACAGATGTTAGCTCAGGGCCAGTCTTCCTCAGCAAAAAGAGGAGGATTGGCAGCAGTTAGCTCAGGGCTAATCTTCCTCAAAAAAAATTAAGTTTGAGTGGCAAAAGATGTACCATTAAAACCCCGCATTAGAACCTGACCAGGACTCCACCCCCATGGTTTACACGCACACACACGCATGTGCAAAAGCACGGAGGGCAGACGCCCGAGGCCCAGGAGGGCAGGAAGATGGGGACGGGGAGGAGCAGCACGAGGCGCGGCTGCACCTGTGATGCTGTCCCTGAGGAAACAACACAAGGTGCCGTGCGACAGAACAATGACAGCTGTTAATTCTGGCGAGAGAGGGCTTCGTTACAAGTCTGCAAGGCCCTGAACGATCGAGAATGTCACCAAATAGATCCCTTTGCTCTGAAACAAAGCAGCACGAGAAGGCCCTCGGCACTCGCTGAGCTCTCCACGAAAGCCCCAGCAATGAGGCCCCCAAGGGTGGGCGCGGCCCTGTCACTCCGGGGGTCAGGTCACCCGCGGGCTGCAGCCCGAGGCACAGAGGAGCGGCCCCTCACCTGTAACACGTTGCTCTCTGCCTCCTCCCCGGTGATGACCTCCACCTTCTCCAGCAGACACTTGCGCGCCGTGGCCTTGGTGTAGGCGGCCGCCGACTCGGCCAGGGACTCTGAAACGGCATCAGCTAAACGTTGACTAGTCATTTGGTGGGAGGAGGGCGGGTCCTCCCAACACGCAAAGGGCTGGCTCTAGCCCCCAGCCACCCCGGCTGGCCACGCCGGGACCTGGAGTGGACCCGGAAATGAGGCAGCTGATGCGGCCTCAGACCCTGCAGCGAGATGAGACCCCCCCTGTGAGCTGCCAGCATGGCTCGGGATCCTCAAGAGGACACTGAAAGTCCCCCCTGCTGTCTCAGGCCGTGAAGGGAGAGGGTGATGGCCACCTCCACAGCCCTGCCCCAAGTCACCCCGCAGTGCCTGGGTCCCCGCTTTAAGAGGAATGCGTCCCGCTCTGATCACTGAGAACCAGCGCTCTGGGCTTTCTGACTCTCGCAGTGGCTGGTCCACGTGTGGTTATGACTGCCTGGAGGGTCGGTCCCCACATCCCTCCCGGTCGGACGTGGCTGGACAGTGTCCCGTCACTCGGGCCCCCTCCCACAGGCGGCAGGACCGCGTACCTTTCTCAGGGGTGGCCTCCTGGGACGAGGACTCGGACCCGGACTCGGCAGCCGAATTTTCCCTGTTGGCATCGGAACCGAGCTCGTTTAGCTTGGGCGGGCTCTGGAGGGAGGCAGGCACACGGGGAGGCGGTGTGTTGGGGTGGTCCTGGCGGCCTGGCACCGCGGGACAGAGCCCCTCAGCCAGACGGTGGCGCCCAGCACTCCCCTGCAGGCAGGGGCTTCTTTCTGCCACCGGCTCCACCTTCACAGCTTTGGGGACCCACCCAGGCCTGGCAGATGCGACTGGACAGCCCTTCCCACGGGTCCCCCATCCCCACAGAACGATTCCCAAGCATCGTTTGGCGGGAAACCTAAGAGAGAGGCGCCCTCACAACACAAGCAGCTCTGAGTCTGCACAGGTCCACGCCGTGTGCCACGGGTGAGCTGCCCCCGGGAGCCCCAAATGGGCTCTCAAGGCCTCCCCGGGGGGCGCGGGCCACCCACTGACAGTCCCCCTGGGCCATGTGAGGAAGCTATTTGTTTCTTTGTAATCAAAGGACAGTAGTGACACTGGAGAAAAGAAGCACGAGGCTCCTTAAGGGAACAGGGACTGAGACAAAGATGGAAACAGTTCGTTGGGCCCCAGGCAGCTCCTCGGCCACACTCACAATGGACACAGAGGGGCTGCAGGTACTCGAGCGACCGGCAAAGAAAAGGCACGAAGGGAAGGAAACAGGCAAAAGATTCCAGGGCCGGCCCAGGCCGGCCAGGCTCGCTGGGACTGGAGAGGGCCCAAGGGCACCCAAGAGCCTTGGTCATGGTGTGTGTCAGGACTGCAGGGGGCACAGGGGCCACCGTGGGGGTCCCCCCACTGTGCTGTAGCCTCATGGGTGGCCCCAGAGGAGCACGCGGTGAGGGACACTGGGCTGAGGCTGTCACTGCAGCCGGCCTTGGCCGAGACAAAGCTTGGCGTGACTCAAGGGGAGCCTGTCTTAGGAGGACGGGAGACAGGAAGCCCCACGGCAGCTCCCAGGGCCCAGGGCCGCCGGCTTCACGCTGAGGCCCAGCTGGGTCTCCTCTGTCTTACGTGCAGCTGAGAGCGCCCTGAGTTCACAGGAGCCGCACGGCAGCCGCGCCCCACGTGTCCCTTTGACCAGGGGAGCTCTAAACCCTCCTGGGCCCAGGAGGAACGGTCCCCACAGGGTGCACTCACCAGCACGCGCTCGCTCATGTTCTGGCCGAACACAAACTTGTTGCTGGCGGTGTCGGCACTGTTGGTCGAGTTCTCTAAACTGCAGAGAAGAGGCGCTGTGACCGCGGCCGCGGAACCTGGCGGGTCACAGAGGCAGCCGAGCGCCACTGGCCCACTGGGGTCTGCTCTGGGCACGAGGTGTGGGCGACAGACGTCACTCCGAGGGCCGGGCTGGACAACCCCACAGAACTCGGGTCCTGCCTCAGGGGTCATGGAAGCCCACCACCCTGCCCTGGCCCCCCGCAGCTGTGCCCAGAGTGGGAAAGGAGGGAGGCGCTGAAGGACAACCTGGATAATGGTGGCGTGTGCCCCCTCCCCTGCATCCTGCCCCCTGAGGAAGGACCCGGCTGGCTCCTGGTCCTGGTGCTGCCTCCTCTCTGGGCCCGGGTCAGGGATGATGGCAGACTGTGGGCCCCGAGGCTGGGCAGCGGGCCCAGGACACACACCTGGAGCTGATATACTGAAGGAAATAGTTGGTGGCGGTCGGCGTTTCTGAACTGGGGTGCCCGGCATTCTCCAGGTCAGCTGCCTCAGCGCTCTCATCTATTAACTGGAAAACAGAGGAAATACTCACTGCTCAGAGAACGGCACCTTCTGGACCCTACTGCTCAGTCCGTCTGCACCCCCATGCCACACGCACAGCTCCAACAGGCAAATTCTATCACGTGTGCACACACGTGTGCTTGTGCATGTGTGCAGGGGCACGGCGCTGTAATCAATGTCACCACTCTTTGCTTTTAATGCTAAGATACAAAAACAGTTTGTAAAGAATTAGGAAGCTTTTTCTATCTTGTTTAAAAAGAACACCCTCAAGTTGGCATCTCGTTGGTGTTTTCACCAATGCTTCTGTACTGAGAGATCACAGGACACGTACAAACCTGGTATTTTAAGGGTTTCCTTATAAACATCCCAAGGGCATCATTTTTCCAAAGCTTCTTTTATGCCAACTGCCGTGCCAGCCCCATTCATCCACCATCTACAGTCATGCTCCCGGGGCCCCTGAGCTGGGGACTGCGAACCCTGTTCTGTGAGCGAGGAACACGGCCTGCCGTCGCCTACCCTCCACGGGCATGTGACCGGGAGACCTCTGCGATCACGTGAGTCCTGGGCCTCCTAAGACACTGCTCCCCCCAATTTCAAGGTGGCTGTTCCCCTAAACTGCAGGAACAGACTCAACCTGATGGCCCAGGCCAGGCCCGGGCCCTCAGCGCAGAGGGGTCTCACGGCCCCCCTCTCTTGCTTCCTCCCCCGTGGTGGGAGCAGCCCCCAAGGGACTCATTACTTTGATTCAAGCTGTGCCACATTAACACGTGTTTTCCGTCTCGTGGGACGTCTGTGCTCCTACCACACAGTGAGCAGCACGGGAGAGAGCGGACAGCGTGACCCCACGCTGCCAACGCGCACCCGAGACTTCTGCCCTCACTTGAGGGTTTCTCGCCCTCAGAGTCACCGACATCTGGAGTGGGACATTCTCGGCCGGGGCCATCCTGGGCACTGCAAGGTGCTGAGCCCACGCAACGTCAGCAGTACCTGCTCCCCAGCTGTGACAGAACAAATGTCCCCAGACACAGCCACAGACAGCACCTCTCAGGCTTCTGAAGGAGCTTCTCGTCAGATGAGCCGCTGACAACGGCAGAGAACGACCCTCTGTCCCTGCGGCTGGGGGAGGCAGCGCTGCCCAGCTCTGGTCTCCCAGAGCGCCTGCGCACGGGGTCGAGCCGAGAGCCTGCCACTGCCAATGCTCCCCACCCCCGACTCGCAGTCCCCAGGCTAGACCCACACACCTGGGGGGCAGCCAGGAGGTGACAGGTACAGCTGCCTCCCGCGGGAGAGAAAACAGTGTCTTTCCACCTGCCCTACTTTTATTTTTATTTATTTATTTTTTCCACCTGCCCTACTTTTAAAAGACAAGGTGATGGTTCTCAATCGGGGGTGATGTGGTCCCACAGGGAACACAGCACTATCTGGGGACATCTTTGGTTGTCACAACTAGAGGAGTGTGCTCCTGGCATCCAGAGGGTGGTGGCCAAGGATTACTGAACACCCAATACCCAGTGGTGCCCAGGCTGGGCCTCCAACTACGAACGACCTGGTCTAAATGTTTCTAGTGCGGAGACAGAGAAACCTGAAGGAAGGAACAAAAGCTCTCAGGCGACGTCAAAAGCACCAGGTCGTGACGTCTGCTTTCTCCTTTGCTACAGAAATGTCAGTTCTGGCGCTGGCCCCATGAAGTAGTGGTTAAGTTCGTGGGCTCCACTTCGGTGGCCCAGGTTCATGGGTTTGGATCCTGGGCGCGGACCTACACCACTTGACAGCCATGCTGTGGTGGCAACCCACATACAAAGTAGAGGAAAACCGGCAACAGATGTTAGCTCAGGGCCAATCTTCCTCGGCATAAACAAAACAAAACACCAGTTCTCAGAGATAAGCACACGTAGTCCCCTGTTCCCGGGAGAACGAGGGAGTCCCGCACTGGGGTGCAGAGGGGTGCAGGCCGCCTGGGCAGCTGGCTGCGTGCCAGGGGCCAGGCAGTGGAGTCTGGCAGGCGTGCAGGACAAGCAGCTGCCAGATGAGCCCGAGCCACCGGACCCCCACAACATGCTCCTGTCTCTGCCCACCCCCTAACCCAGGGGAGGCGTGAAGAGATCAACGCTCCATCCACAGCTTGCCTGGTCTCTGCTCACTCACCTTCACTCTGTCCCTCAGGTTCTGCCCGAACACGAACGCTTGCTGTGCAACTTGCTCTTTTTTCTCACAGTTTTCCTCCTCAGAAGTATTGCTAGACTCATTTCTCTGGGGCTCTTTCTCCTGGTGAAACACACACAGAGAAAACTGAGAAGATTCCACACAGCAGCCAGAAGAGCCAGCTCATTGGCTCAATGTGTCTCCTCCGCTGCGTCCCTGGGCCCACAGGAAGGTGACCCAAGCAGACTCCTGGGCCTGGATGGGCGAGCTCTCAGCAGCTGGAGCTGCCCAGGCGTGGCGTGCGCACGCATCAGCAGGGACATGGAGGAGGTCGGGACGTTCCTGGTCTCCCTGAGGGCCCTGGGACCTGGCCACCGAGGTCCCCAAGCAGCACTATGCTGCAGACACGATTCCTACATGCATGGCCGCACCTGTGGCTGGCAGGTGGGGGCTCAGGGACGTGGGGAGCGGGAGGGTACAGAACCGCAGGCAGCGACTTTTCTGCAGAAATGGACGGAAGGGAATAAACACACACGTGCAACCCGGCTTCGTACAGCGAAGCCTCGGATTTCAAACCCACCTCCACCAGCCGCAGAAGCAGGCCGTTCATTATGTGCCCCTTACGGTCCAGTGGCCAAGCGACACTACCAGAAAACATACACTTTCGGCCCCTACAAGCCCAGAACCCTGAAGAACTTTTATTTTTTTTTTAAAAAAAGTCAACCCATTTCTGAGCTGACTCCCCAGGCAAGCTTCAACTAGGATGGGCACATGTATATGAAGCCCCGAGGGGTTGTTCGGGTGTGGAAACAGGGACATATTTACTCCGTGTGAAACAGTACAAGACTCTCATCCATGAAAGCCACTCCTCTGGGCCCAGCGGCCCCCCAGGGCTCAGTGGTGAGCGTGCCTGCCAGCAGGCACCCAAGCCCAGGACGTGTGGCACTGAGATCCGGCACACTATGGCTCTGCTGGTGGCACCCTCCTCTCGGAAGCACGAGAGAGACCACCCTCGGCATTGTAGCAACTTGGGACGTCGCTTGTGGTTATGCACTGGTGCTGCTGAGCAAAGCCAGAAAGCCTGGTGACAGGCCAACACTGAGACCCCTCAGAGCGGGTCACAGTCCCCACGGCCAGCGAAGCCCTGAGCAGTTTCATGGGTGGCGCTCCCCGCCCTGGCACCGGCGGACGAACCTCAGGTGCTCGCGCCTCGTCAGAGGGACTCCTCCGGGCTGGGTTGTCGGGCGACGTCGACGTCGCGGGCCCTGTGCAGTCTGCTGGGATGCTGACCCCGTTGGTGCCGCTGCTCGGGACTGCAGGGAGAAAGGACACGGGGAGTGGCGGGAGCTCAGGCTGGGCCGCCTCGAGCACCCCCTGCTACCATTTGGACCGACAGGATAGCCTTTCCTTTTAAAGAAAAGGATCTGGCGTGGCGACTAAAACTCACGAATCCTTAGATTAAAAAAAGCAAAACAAAAACTTCACAGAAGAACACCTTATTGCCTATTCCACCCAGAAGTGCAGGAATTTTCAGTGTCTTTAGAAACAGTACTATTAACCGAGGGGGGAAAAACATAGAAAATATATTGTGGGAACAATGATGAGTTTTATAAAGCTAGTTTCACTAATGAAGTCGTTACGCATTTTTTCCATTAAATAGTTGAGAAGACACGACACGCACAACTTGAAATGTGGCTTTGTTTAGCATTCGATCAAAACAATGCCCCATGTAATCAAAGACTCGTCAGAAAAAGCCTTTCTCTCATGCGGGATGCTGTGTTGCTCCGGATGCAGAGTTCTTGGATTGGGGGGAAGATCAAGAGGAAGACGAGAGGAGCTCAGCGGCACGGAGGGAACAAGGATGCACTGACAGCCACTCGCTGTGCGCACGGGACGGGAACACAGTGGGACTCGGGTCTGAAGGAGGGCAGACGACACGGGCATGCACGCTGCCCAGAATTACCCTCGAGTCCCTGAGCCACGCGGGGCTGGCTCGGCTGCATGCACAGGGATGGACCCAGCGCTCAGGGAGGGGGCTGGCATGTGCAGCCGGTGCGAGTACACAGCATGCCACCAGCAGCCACGCTCGGCTGGGTGCCACAGGGAGACCGTGGAACCGCCTCTCCATCCTCCCCGGGCTCACCAGGGGGACGAGGACCGTTTGCCCCGCGCTCGCTTTATTTCTGAGTGCATGCAGCAGAGACAGCCAAAGTCACCCGTGTGGAGACAAGGCTGTGGCAGGCGAGCCCAGAGGCCCAATCCGCCCGCCGTGGGAGCCTGGGTGCCCGGCCGCGGGTCTTACCGGTCTGAGAGAGGGCCTTTGGCTGGGGGGCTTGTAACACCGCCGGGCGAAGCACGCTGCGCTGCTGCTCCTTGGGCTTCTGGCTCGGCAGACCTGGGAACAGAAGTCAGCTTGCCCAGGGCCTCGGACCACGCGGGCGGAAACGCCCCCTGTCCCCCAGCTCTCAGGCGCCTTACAGAAAAATGAACCCAGTAACCTATCCGACGGCCCTCACATGCTAGACTTTGCACCGAAACACGTTTTTAAGAAACCCAAGATACTTTCTTTACAGCTCGACACGCACATTCGGGCTCGCTATGACTCCACGTGGTAAGTGCGATTCCCAGTAACCGACCACGCCTGTCGTTAATCCCATGAGCACAGGATTACTGGGCTACCGTGCTGGCTCGAGGACCACGTGCAGACGGCGAGGGGAGAGCCGCGAAGCCACGGGCGACCCCTCCAGAGTTTAGGACTCTGACTGGGGTCACGTAAAGGCCCTCTTTGTACCAGCTTTTCAAAAAGCCATGCTGAGAAAACCCTGTGCTGAGCTCAAATTGGGCAAGGACTGAGAGGACGCTTCTGGCCCCGCACGGGCTTCCCTGTTGGACCTGTTGGTCGGGACGGCACCACTGCCAGGCCCTGCTCCCTAGCGTGGCCCTGGATCGAGGACAATTTGCTAATCAGGGTTAACGGTGTGGCATGCTGGGGCCGGAACGCTCTGGAGAGAGGCTGCACCAGCCGAGCCACGTCCCCTGGCAAGCCTAGCCTGCTCCCTGTGCTGCCTCCTCTCCTCCTCTGGGCAGATGGCTCGCAGCGGGAGACCCTCCCTGGGCCGACAGGCTCTTTCAGTGGCTTTGCAGGGCTCAAGGCCCAGGGGAGTGAAGCTCCCCGAAAGGAGGCGGGCCCGGAGCGCACCGGGGGCGCTGCCCGAGGCGGCAGAGGCCGGGAGGGTGTGAGAAAGCCGTTCCACCCGCTCAAAGCGGCGCCCACCTGCACTGGGTGCCTGGCCGTGGATCAGCGTTGGCGGCTTCAACCGGAACCCACTGCTCTTCTCCTCTACAAGCACAAGACGAGAGGATCAAAAGCAGCTCTGCCTGGGGCGGGGCAGGGCAGGGCAGGGCGGGGCGGCGGGAGAGGCCTGCGGGCTGGGCCTCCGAGGGCAGGGGAGAACCAGGGAAACGGTTCCAAGTCTAAACTGAAATGCGGAAGCCCCGTCCCATCGCCAAGGGCATGAGCAGCCTGGGCGAGGACGAGGCAGGGACCGGACGGCGGGAACTGCTGGCTCCGGGGCAATGTGCTGATGATGGGAGACCAAAGGGCGTTGAAGGTGCAGGACAAGCGAGGGGACCACTTCCCCAGCAGCCTCAGACACCACGGTGTGTTTGCAAGCCCTGGAGAAGGGCTGGCAGCCACGGGATAAAGGTCCCTGGGCCCTGTCTCCCTTTCCCAGAGGGCCTGTCTTGTCAGGAGGACACGTCTGTTTCAGGAAAAGCATCTGTACACCAGCAGATGTCTGGGAACGAGACATGTTTTCCATGGTGAAAGCTCAAAGCGGGTGGATGGCAGGTCTGCTCTCTGCAGATGCACCCGGAGCCTTGCTTCTTGCCTCCTGGGAGCACTGGCAGCCCCGGAGGAGGAGGCAGGACCATCTGCCCCGGCCCACGCGAGGAGGTCAGCTCTCCCCCAGGGCGTGAGTCTGGGCTGACAAACACACAGAGCTCACAGAGACGCGGGTTCCTGGGATGGCTCAGGACTTGGTTCCAGCTCAGCCACGGGTCCACACAGATCCCTTAACCGTGCGTCTTGGTGACTCTGCCCATCTCAGAGGGGGGATGGCATGGGGAGACAGTCTCAGGCCACCCAGGATGGGAAGGGTCAGCACCAAAAGCCTTGTGACTGCAACAGCCCAGGTCTGTCCCCGGGGAGGCACAGGGACAGCAGCATTTTGGGCCACCAGGCAGCCTCGCTTTTGTACAAAGCTCCAAACTGTCAGGAATGACCCCTGTCAGGTCGCAGAGATCAAGAGCCACACACCAAAATCAGTTGTGTGTTTCTAGACTCCAGCAATGAACAACCCGGAAAGGAAGTGAGGAAAACAGCTCCATCTACAGCTGCACCAAAGAGCGTCAAACCCTTGGGAATAAATGTAACAAGCGAAAACCACAAGACATGACTGGAAGAAAGTGAAGACTTAAACAAATGGCGAGAGATCTCAAAAGGTCACAGAGGGCGAGTCCATTTACATAAAGCGTCCAGAACAGGCGACGCCACGCAGACGGAAGGTGGACTCGTTGCCAGGGGCTGGGGGAGGCGGAATGGGGGGTGACTACTCAAGGGCATACGGTTTCTTTTGGGGTGACGAAAATGTCCTAAAATTAACTTCGGGAATGGCTGCACAACTCTGTGGGTATAATGAAAACCGACCAATTGTACCCAAACCCCACAATTCCCTTGTCAGACCAAACTTGCAGATAAGAACAAAACCCAATCAGAATCCGGGATGGAGCAGGAGGGCCCTCTTCCTGCTGGCTACATGCTGCGGAGGCCCTGCTCTCCGGGAGCGGCATCAGGACGACAAAACGCCCCTGCTGGCTGGCGTGCAGGAGCCGAGCCTGCGTTGGGGAGCCGGTGCCACCCCCGGGGAGCGGGGTCAGGACCCTCACCCGGGGCCTCAGGAGCCACAGGATGTGGGAAGACCTGCCGCCACATGGTCCCTTTAGAAGGGACAGATGAGTTACACTTCTAAAGCTGTGGGTTATTCCGAAGATGACTGGCAATTTAGAAACAAGAGGACAGGGATGGACAATTTAGAAACAAAAGAACAGGGATGGAATTCACAATTGAGATAATTTTTACAAGCCCTCAGGGCTGGCTCTGCAGGCTTGCCTGTGGCTACAGACTGACCTCCACCGCTCCGCCCCCTGGGGAGCCGAGGCCGACAGCCACTTGACCCCAGGCCGGTCTAGGCTGCCCAGTGGGGGCGGCAGGCCCGGAGAATGGCTCCCCCTGACCATCCACCAGCACTGGCCCGGCCCACGGATGCACAGGAGGTCCACTGAACGCTGCCGTGAACGGACAGACAGATGAGGTGTGCCACATTTCTAATGGGGACTTGGGACACAAGGGGCCCAGGGCAGCAGGGATGGGTGCTCAGAGGGCGGTCAGACCCTGCAGGCCCGTCGTGGCCCATCTTCACTAAAACCCAGGGGCTCTCTTCCTGCAACACGGTCAGGGCCCAGCAGAGAGGCGCTACCTGGTGGCCAGAGCCCCCACCCAGGCCAGGGTCACGGGAGCACAGGCGGTGGCACTGGCGCACGCATGCCCCTCTGTGAGCTCACTGGTAAGGGGGCTCCCTCTGGGGCAGCCCTCGTCCTGCCTCGGAGAGACCCCGAGTGACGTCCCAGGGAAGTCCGGAGTTAACCAGGAGAGCACAGGAATCTGCCCTGCTGTGTCCCAGGGGCTGAGACTCGACAAGAAGGCAGCCTGGCGGGCCAGGCATGTGCTGGTGGGAGGGCGCTCGGCCACTCACACGCTCTGGAGTGCTGGGTACGCACACCGAGGACACAGGGAGCCGGCTTTCTTGTGGCCAGAAAAGAGGTACAAATACAAAGGAGGGGGCCAGAATGATCCCTGACAGAGCAGGACTGGACGTCTCCACGTGGACCGCGGTTACCCACACACGCAGAGAGACAGACACAGGAACACGTGCAGACGTAAACACACGCGTGCGTGTGTGCACGCTGGCCACCCAGACCTTGGTGTCTAGAGACCACTTTCCACTAAAAAGCACCAGGACCCCTTTGAGAAAGGGTTGACTCTGGGCTGGGATGGGGAGAGATGAGCCTGGAACCTCTCACTACGACAGAAAGTTCAAAAGAATGATGGGGACGTGGCAAAAGGACACAGGAGGAACCTGCCTGACGGGGCTCCCACTGGCCAATCTGGGACAATTAAAATAGAACCTGAACGTTAAAATAAATACTAATAACAACAGACTATTACCCACCGACTACAACAGGAACCCATAAACCCACAATGATACAACAGACAATGCTAAAAAAGCGGGGAGAGAAAGCTCTTCCGGGTGGTGAATGCCAAGTAATCAACGTGGGAGCGACGATGGAGGCAGGAAACCCCATCTGGCCAGCGTCAGACGACCAATAAATCCAAGCAAGAAAACAGCAATGAATGCTAACACCGAGGGCAGAAGTCAGAGGGGGAAGGAGAGCTCCTGGCGTCTCAGAGCATCTCTCCAGAAAACGTTCATCGCAAAAGGGGAAGAAGTAACTTCAGGGTGGAGACACGGGGCAGTTCCCACTGTCACCAAGTGACCCCAGTCAACCCCACCAGCACCAGCACAAGCGAATACTGGGTGTCCCTCGCTGCGGTGCTCAGGGAGGACCACGGCTTCCCACGGGTAGAGTTCCAGGTGCAAACGTGTCACTGGGGCGAAATCAGCAGGAAACGGGACAAACCCAGGCCGGAGGACTTCTCCAACGTAATTGGCCGGTAATCTTCAAGGTCCCAGAGGTCGAGGGAAGATGAGGGGCAGCTCCAGACGGAAAGAGGTGTGGGATGTGTGAGGCGGGACGTGGTCCCTTCCTATGAAGACACCCCGGGACGACTGGGGAAAACGGAATGGAGTCTCTAAGGAAAGGGATAAAAGTGCTTTCTGAAATTCTTCCACAAGTTTTAACTTTTTTCTCACGGTTAACATGAAAAAATAAAAAGCAGGCAGGCAAGGATGTAAGAAGTTGACTGCGGAACGGACGTGCGAGGCTAGCCCACGCACGCCGCATGGGGTGCCAGGGCCCGGGCTGCCGCCGGTCCTCAGGGGGCCCTGCTCTCAGGGCTGCAAGAGGAAGGTTTTGGGGGGAGAGAGGGAGCGAGGCCGGCACCCACAGACCTCAGAGGGGCTTAGGAGATTCGTCACAGAAGTGGACAGCACAGGGGGATCAAGACACATGGCTTCTGTGACTGCTGCCCCGGACATGGGCTGCCCCAGCGCACAGGTACCACCATGGGCCCTGGGGACCAGCTCCTCCTCAGCCCCGGGGCAGGGCTCTGCTCCAAAAGGTTTGCTTTCAGCGTCAAAGTGAATTCACTGGTTTGAAACGGGGCCATTGAATCAATCCTCAGTTATTCCTGACATGGCCCTCGTGCCAGAGTCTGACTTATCTGGCCACGCTTTTGAAGTCGGCCATGGATTTATATAAGGCAGGTCGGGTTATGGGATCCGGGTGGTTAAACCTGCTCATTAAATCTTTTATGAGGAATTTCAGGCACGTGGGAGAAACTTCCAGGAAATCTTGGAGTCGGTTCCCCAGCGAGAGACCAAAAAAGGAAGGCTCCGTGTTCTTGAGGGGGGATCGAGCCATTTTCCTTGAAGTTTTAAAGCTGTGATTAAATATATTTATCTGAACACAGCTCAGCTGTATTAACTAATGTGAGAATTTAATACCCAGGAGAGGGGTCGGGAAAATGACATAAATCTCACAGCAGGTACTTTGGGATATCAGAGGGAGTGGGAAACGGGCAGGCAGATTCTTTGACTATGTATTTCCCATTTGCCTTTTTTATAATGATACGAATATATTACTTGAGTAAAATTTTGAAAAATTAGTAATACACCTCTTTGTAGTTTTTTTTTAAAAAGGACTTAAAACTCTGAGGCTGGCCCTGTGACTGAGTGGTTAGGGTTCTACACACTCCTCTACAGTGGCCTGGGTTCGCGGGTTCGGATCCTGGGCGCAGACCTACTCCACTCATCAGCCATGCTGTGGTAGCATTCCGCATACAAAATACAGGAAGACTGGCACAGATGTTAAGCTTAGGGCTAATTTTCCTCAAGCAAAAAGAGTAAGATTGGAAAAGATATTAGCTCAGGGCCAATCTTCCTCAGCAAAAAAAAAAAAAAAAAAAGAAAAAGGAAAAAAAGGGGAAAAAATAGACTTAAAATCCCTTGTAATCAGACCTTGCTTGCAGAAACAGAAATAGGGGCTTATGAACCCTGTTTTATGGATTCCAAATCTACGAGGTGAAGAGTTGGGAAACTATTTAGAAACCGAAACAGAATCCTGATTTGAAACTGCCGATTCCTGTTGAAGATCTCATTTTACAGTAGCAACTGCTTGTCATCCCAGGAGACCCCCGGTAACTGGCTGTGAAGGGCAGAGGGACGTGAGGGTTCACCGGCTCTGAGTCAGAATGGCCTGCAGATGGCTGGGAGAAGGTTGATGGCATAAAAACATTGTTTTTTTGATACTGTTGACAAGGAGGTGTCGGCAGGGGAGGGAACAAGAGGAAAAACAGTGCGAGGAGGTGGGGTGGACACTCAGGGGTCGCCTCTCCCACCTCAGGGGTTGGTCAGTGAGCCCCACCGGGGGAGGGGTCAGCACTATGAACGAGGCCTCTGGACGCTCCCCATAAAAGCAGCCCCCCAGGACTCTCTCTACAGCAAAAATGGGGGTCTCCAGCTGAACGGCCTTTATCTGATGTCCACTAGTCGCCTCTGGTCTGCTGCGGCCGCCTGTCTTGTCCTCGTGCCCCTGGCTTTTCCTTGGCACCCGGGGCCCCTGCAGGGGCAGCCAGGAGGGAGGCAGAAGGCACTGATGTTCTGAGTCTCCCCCGGGGCCGAGCTGCAGACCCTGCTCCTCATCACAGGTCAGGCCTCCTGGGCTGCCCGCACCCCCCCTCCTGCATGTGGTTTAGGATCTGACTTTACAATATCAGCTGCTTCCTGGGGGACAGGCTGGGGAACGAGGCGGTGGGACTCAGAGGGCGGAGTGAAGACAAGCCTTTTGAAATGGCCGGCACCGCCCTCTCTCCGTTTCCCCTGGGGATGGAGGGGACCCTCCCAGATGCCTCTCCACTAGAGAGGAGGGAAGATGCCCGGTGGTCCTTTGCCCCTCCTCTCTCCTCTGCCGACCTCCTCGATGCACAAAGTGTGGTTCAGCAGCAGACAGTGAGTGGGAAGGAAAACCATCAATAGCCGGGAAGCTCCCCCATTCATAGAAATGCCTAGACAACAAGCATGCAGAGATCCTTAGGAAAAGGATCTGTCACCTGGAGCCTGGACTGGGGCCTGACAGCCCCTCAACGCCTGGTTAGCAAAGGACGGTGTATCCATCTGGGGGGTTCTCATGCAGTCATGAAAAAGGACATGGTAGCATTCAAGCAAGGTAAGTGTGAGGGAAGCGTGCATGACACCAAGCGTGTTACACGGAGGGCCTCGACAGGAGGCCCACTTTCTGCGCCGTGAGCTCCTCACGTTGGCACCACTTTTGTAAGCAGAAACAACCCGCTCAGAGTGGTTCTCTGCCCTTACAGTGGTATCCTTAAGGTCTGCAGTTGTAAAAGGTTTCACGCAAAAGTCCCCAGGAGAAACTTCAAGTTGGGTCACTGGAGGTCCTCCCTTACGTGCATCTAAGCCGGCACGACAGAGAGTGACAGAGCACCTGGGACAGTGCCAGAGCGGGCCAGTCAAGACCGGGAGGAGGGGACAACCCTGTGGCAGTGTCCCCCTCCACCCTGCAGGGGCGTCCCCGGGCTGGCAGTGTCTCTCTGGACCCCGGGAACCTGTAGCAGCCTTTGCACAAACACCTGCACCTTCGGCACATGGACACAGGCAGCAGCTGTGGAGGGCGGACACGTAACGAACAGTCAGAGCCCCCAGCAGGGCCGCGAGGCCTGGTCCTCCAGCTCAGAGGGACAATGTCTTTGCACATTTCCTTCTGAGTCCACGAGGTCACCCCCTCGCTAAGTGTCACGATTCCCGTGGCTACCGGGAGCTTCCCTGGGGCAAGCTCTAACCTGATCCCTGAGGGACACACTATCCCAGAGGGAGGCTAACTGTGTTGGGAGGACATGGACCGGGGGCGGGAGGCGCTGGAGTGAACAGCGGGCTCAGAAACACGAGGCTTCGACCGTCCAAAGGGGCCGCGGCTGTTACCTGACTGTGAAGGTGGGAACTGGGTTAATGAGGACGTTCTTTCTCGCTTGACGGGAGGGCAGTAATTTCCATCTTCGCGGTCAGAATCTACAGAAAATAACGAGAGAAGGAGGAGGAGAAAATCAGGCTGCTTCCACTTTTGCACCCAGAGACGGCGAAACATTTGAGAGAGCGCCTCACCTTCTCCACCTTCGGGGCTGGAGCCGCCAGCTGACCTCTGAAATGAGAGCACACGGCAAGGTGGTGAGGGAGGCCAGGCTGCCCAGGCCCCATGGGCTCGGCAGCTCCGGGCCGAGTGGATCCCGACACGGAACGTCGAGGGCCAACTCCCTGGGCTCAGCCAGCTGAGGCACAGACAGACCTTCACCCCAACGCTGGAACCCCCCGCCAACCTCCTGCGTCTGCCTTACCAGGCCCTGCGCCAAGGAATCCTCTCAGGGCCTGAGAACACACTGACAGCGCGCGGATCAGCTTCATGGCTTCCCTGTAGATTACAGCTAACTGGCCAGCCGCCCCCAGTTCACACAGCGAAACGTTATCTGGCCAAACCCACTTGCCAAGAGCCGGAGAGCGACACTCTCTCCACCACGAAGGGCAGCAGGCTCTTTAAAACAGTTGCACTCTTGCCCTGGCACATTCCATGGGGCCGAACCCTCTTTTGAGGTGGGGGAGCAAATAAGAACTCCGATGCCTTGGACCAAAGTCTGCTGCCAGGCGTTCAGGACAGAACTGTCAAACACAGCAATCCGCGGACTACGGAGCTCGGAGGAACAATCTCAAGCTAAGAGAGAACGGGGCTGAAGAACGTCCTCCTTCACGAACAACCTTTAGCTTTAGAATGTGACCCACTAGCAATTGAGAGCCTTCAAAAGGAATCCCCTCGCCCCCAGCCCAGGGGAAGGCAGAAACCCTCCCACATCCCTTCTCAGCACGTGGGCCTTCAGAACTAGGCAGCCAAGAGCCCACGCAGGGGCCAGCGTCAGGCCTCCTGGGGCCCCTTCAAGAGCAAGCAGAGGAGCCCATTTTTGCATTTCTCGAAAGGCCCCTCAGGGATCCAGTTGAGCCAGATGAGGACCATCTGCCTGCAGGAGCTGCTGGGGATTAAATGGGACGAAGCCTGTGACAGTGCTCTGCAAACTGCTGGGCAGCGTGTCCGGCAGGAGCGACTCTAACATAACTGCCGGAAAAGCTCCTAACGCGGGCGGGGCGGCTTTTCCCAGGGGCCCAGAGCGCATGTGCCTGTTTCTGTTTTTACAGTCCTTGACAAATGTAAACACTGTCTTAGCTCAAAGGCAGCAGGAAAACGGGCTGTGGGTGGGAGTTTGCAGACCCCTGTCCTACAGACAGCGAGAGCCCAGAGAGGGCAGGTTCACCTGCCCGAAGTCACACAGCGAATTCAGAGTCAGAAGAGGATCCCAGCCTGGACTCTGCCCTCCCCTGGTGGGTCGGCAGCTTGGGTCTGCGTCTGGAAGCCAGCGGGCCGGGCCTCCAGGAGTGCTGGCAGTGTTCCCGGGACCGTGCCTGCGACGGGAGGAGGGCCCCACCCCCACATGGGCTTTCGGGCGATCAGGAGGCCATCTGTCCAAGTGCTTGGAAACACACAGCCCTCGTAACACAGCAGGGCCTCGCTGTCCCTGGGGCAACTGTGAACACACACTAAGCCCAAATGAAATAAAATACCCCACCTCACCCCAGTGTGAGGCCTGGGGCGAGTCATTCCACTGGCCCAGGCTTCCGGTTCCTCACTGGGAAAATGGGAAGGGGGTGCTGGCGCCTCTGCTGCCTGCAGGGAAGCGCAGGGGTCAATGGGATAAGCAGGCGGCCGGGCTCAGCCCTGTGACAACGTTGGTGGCTCGCACCTGGACCTAAGCTCGCCGGTAAACCCACTTCCGCTGATGTCACCCCCTCGGGCAGTGCTGGGGAGGGGCAGCAGGGCTTCCGAGCTCAGGGACAGTTGGGGGTGAGGGACCCTCTCCCAGACGGGGAGGACTAGGGGGGGTGAGAAACACACTCTGGCAGCGCTCCGATTCCAGAGGCCCGGCCCGGGTGGCATCTGGTGACCCAGAGCCGTGGCACCAGCACATCAGGCCTCCCCTCTGGGGACCACCCTCCCCTTGAGTGACAGCAGTGAGGTGCGGGCTCCGGGCCTGCTCGCCTTCACACTTGGCAAAGGCGAGAGAAACACACAGGTCCTCAGTGCCCAGCAGTGGTGGGGAGCCCCTCCAGTGGAGGCCGTGGCCCGGCCCACTTGAAGAGCCGGCTCGTCCCAGTGCAGGCCAGCCGATGCCCTGGACCAGCTCCTATGTCAGGGTGACGTGGGAAGCAGGCCTCTGGCCCGGCGGCTCTATGGTTCCACTCGACCTCCCTGCGATCGGCCGCGGCTCCTACCCCCACGACACCCGCTGTCCTCCCCCAGGCCCTCTGGTCTCCATGCCGGAAATACCCGAGGGCCTGAACGACCGGCCACTCCAGGTGGCCTGGCTGCCTCCCATCTTGGTAACTCATGCCCTCCTGGGCCCCGCAGGCTCGCCTTGGCTGCCCCCTACCCCCAGCCTGCTTCACCCTAGGCTTTGAGAGCCTCTCCTGCCCTCCCTCCTGCTCCTTCCTGGAGGGCCCAGCTCATTTCCCACTTCCCCCCAAATCCCACCCATATCTCGGCTCTGCAGCCTGCCGCTCTCCTCTTGCCACTCCACAAGCATTTTGGCGGTACCAGACCCCGCCGGCGGCAGCTCCCAGGTCCTGGGGGATCTGCGGCTTCCTGAACGAATTCTGGGACCTGGAATGGCACCCTCTGTAGAAGTGCTCCCTCATCCCTCATCCCTGACGTCCTCCTTCCCCAGCTTCCCAGGGGAGAACGAACCCTCGGTGCTGTCGCCTCCCTTTTCCTCCGTGTCTCATTCGGACTGTGGGATCTTGGTGGGGTTCCCACTAGCTTTTAAGTTCCAGGGGGCACTGGCCCTGGGCACACGGACCCCGGGCACTCTGCAGGCCATGGAGGAGCAGTGAAGGCATGAGTCTCCGCGTCACACACAGAGCAACGGCCCGTGTCCTGCTAGCGGTGCCGAAAGCTTCGTCCCCAGCTGCCTCCTGTCTCCGCAGCTGCTGCGGAGGCCGTGCCTCCACCTCCTCCACCCCAGGGGCCCCCACACCTAGCCCGGCTCTGCCCACTGGGCTTCTAGGGCTAATTTCCACGGGTGAAATTTTCTAGCGCTCCCTCTGCTCCTCATTTCTAACTTCATTCCTCTGTGGTTGGAGAAGACTGATTTCAATCCTTTGCAATGCACTGACACCCGTTTTGTGGCCTAGCGGGTGGTCTTTCCTGGAGAATGCTCCACGTGCCCTTGAGAGGAGCGTGTATCCTGCTGCTGGCTGGAATGTTCTGTGCACGTGCCAGGTCTGCTGGGCTGAGAGCACTGCTCCAGGCCCAGTGTCCCCACCAGTCCTGTCTGGATGTTCTGTGACGACTGACAGTGGAGCACAGAGGCCTCCAGCACCACGACTGAACTGTCTATTTCTCCTTCCACTTCTGTCAGTTTCGCTTTGTGTATCTTCAGGCTCTTTGAATGCCACTTAGCTTTCTCACCTCTGCAAATGACACCCCAACCTCTCAAGAACCTGGGTCTCCGTAAGAATCTGATGGGTGCTACGGAGCCTCTCCCCAGAAACATACCAGACCTGGAGCCGGGGCCTCCTGTGGCTCCACGTCCCCCATCTGTCCTGCTCCAGCCGCGCTGTCTCCTTCCGGTTTCTGAACACGTCAACACTGTGCCCGCCTCAGTGTTCCCTCTGCATGTGCCAGTCCGTCGGCCTGGGACGATTTTCCTGCAGGTCCACTCACTGTGGCCTCCACGAGGCCCACCCTGCCCAGCTGAGGGTGAGCCAGTGCTCACACACTCTCCCAGCGCCAGCGGGCAGAGCAGCTCGCCTCCACCCCCCAGCCCTGCCCTGTTGGGTGCCCCCATTGGAAACGGCCCAATGTGTCTGTTGTCTGTCTCCCGCTACGATGAGGACCTGCCCCGTCTGTTCTGCTCACAGCTCAGATACCTGACACCTGGACACTGTGCACAAGACGCTTAGGAAGTATTTACTGTGTGAATGGAGCCGTGTCCTCCACTACAGCCCCGTCGGTGACCCAGAGAAGAAAGGGTGCCGCCCGGGGAGACAAGGTTCAGACACTCCTAGACTCCTGACCCCAGGAGACCCTCAAATGCGCGCCCCGAGTCTCTTCTAAAAACCATCCCACGGGCAGGCGGCAGGCCTCTCGTCCTGGAAAGGCTGGGAGGCCAAGGCCTGGGAGGGACAACACGGGAAGATTCCCCCACTGGGAGAATCTTCCAGAAGCTGCTGGAACCTCCTGTGGGGTCATAAACGGGTGACTCAGAAGCGTGAGGAAACTGGTGCCAGCGACTCTCCTTAACAGGAACTGGTACAAGGAAGCAGGAAGACAGACTGTAGGACGAAGCCGCTTGTGCTAGCCTTTGGCCACGAGACCAGAGAAACCTGCATCAGCTGCCCACAGCGGAGCAGCGCCATCCCCGACGGAGGCTGAGCCTGCTGTGCAGCGGCCACCTGAGTCGTCTTCCCCAAAGCAGGACAAGGTCCGGGTGCAGGACTCCCCTTCAGGCCAGCCCCGGCCCCACCCCAGCCAGTGCCAGCCCTACACACACTGTCCTTGTTCACGGCAGCCTGGTGGTTGGGACCTCTTCTGCGCAGAGCAGTCCGGGGGCCACCCGCCACCCCAGCCAAGTGAGCGGCCACGCAAGGGTTGGTGGAGAACGAGCCTGGGACACACACGGAAGTCAGCTAGGCTGCAGCGCAAAGCTCCGGAGCCCCACTGCTGGGCCTGGAGTGACGAGGAGTCTAAGAGCAGGCTTTCCGGATCCGTGCTGTCTGGAGGGGGAGGACAGAGCAGCGTGTGGAGCCCCATTTCCTCCTGCACCCCATCCCACACGAGAATCCCCTCTGCAAGGACTAGGCTATGGGGTGGCACCTAGGGGACGCTGGGCTCAGCACCCACTTGGGACACCATGACTAAAACATCCCAAATTAACACACAAGGAAGCAGAAGAGAAAGAAGACCAACGACAGCCCTCCAACTCATTTCCCTGGAGCCAGGACGGTGGGAACCACGAGGCAGGCTCCCGAAAGATGCACAGTTCCTCCAGGACGGCGGCGGCTGCGGACGGGGGGCGAGCCAGCGGCCGGAGATCGAAGGAG